TAAAAATAGATTATCTATTCAAAAATTAGTAAAAAGCCTGAATGAAGAAGGCTCTGCCCAGGCTCCCTTCTCTAGTCAAGTCTGTCACTCCATGTACTCCTCCTCCACACACTTGCTTGTCCACATTTGCCTACCCCCCTCCAGGCATCATTCAGGTTTTGTGTCCTCCAGGAGGTCTTCCGTGAGGTTACAAAAGATCACCTTTGTGCATTATGCTTCATTTTATTTTTTGTAAGTTGTAAATATGGCTCTGAACTATTTCCTTCTCTCTAGATGAAGAAGACAATAACATTTTACACTGAGTCTTAGAGAGATTAAATAACTTGTCAAAGGCCACCCAGGAGAGAGCTGGCGCTTGAACCGTTTCTGAGCCCTGTCTAAACCCATTCTCCTCACTGCCCCTCTTTTGCCTCCCGTTACAGCTCCCAGCACCTCCAGCCCCTGAGGAAGAGGGATGATGTCCCCTTTGTCTTTATGCCCCAATAGAGTTCAGTGCAGAGTGACAGGCAATCACATGCTGTAGGAAGGAAGGGAGGGGAGGGAGGGAAAGAGGAAGAGAAGAAGAAGGAAGGAAGAAGAGAGAAGGGAAGGAGTGGGGGAGGGGTACTCACTCTTGCAGAGATGGGTCTGATTCATCCGCATTTGCTGTTCCCGGGTCTGAGTCGAAGGACATGGGCTCTTCAGAATGGTCTGGACTCTTGGAGCCATTCTCTTGGAGTAGACAGCTATCAGAGTTCAGGCTGCAAGAGAGCTGGGACAAACTGGCCGTGTCCAGGCTGAGGGAGGAGGCGGTGAGCTTCCCGTTCCGGCGGATCTTATGGCCCGAGTGCTGGACTTCGATGTCCTCCGAGCCTGAGGAATGGGAAATTGAATCCAGAGACTCCTTCCGCTGTAGTTCTGTGCCAGAGGTAGTGAGAGGGTCGAGCTCAGAGAGTGGGCACAGCCCAGAGAGGGCCAGTGGGGTGAGCGTCCACTCGTTTAGGATGGCGGACTTGTAGGAGAGTTCGAAGGATAAGGATGTGAGTCCCTGCAGGAAGCTGAGGAGGAACTCGCCCTCCTCGGCGTCTCGAAGCAGGGCTGTGGGCTGATAGTACTCGCGGAGTCGGGCCTGCTCCTGGAGGAGCAGCTTCAGGTAGCACTCCATCAGGCCGTCGTTGAGGGCCAGCCGCAGCCAGGCCCGGCAGCGGCCCACATCCGTGCTGACGAAGAGCAGGTGCTCCAGTTCCGAGATGATGTGTCTGAGAAGGCGGAAAACAGACAGTTTCAAAAAATGACTTCAAATCACTGTGATGTTGTTTTATTCACTGGTTAGCAAGAGCCAATAACACCAACTGCAAATATACATAGGCCTGAAAAATTCTTGGATAATGGTGATCTAAGGAGAATTTAGAAATATTAAGCTATAACCCACAACTTTTTGAGGTTGGTGTCATGAAGGATAATTACCATTTTTGTTACAACTACCCCTTGGGCCCCTGACATCTTCCGCTCATCTAAGACATGTCTGCTGAGCCCCTAAGTGCAAGTCCTTGAAGCTGTGAAGACGCAAGGTAAAGACATGGTCCCTGCCCTCTGTCCAGGTAACTGCCTTTCAAGAGCACACTGAGGTGAGCCCTGTTGTTAGTAGAGCTGGGGTAGGGTGCTGGGCAGTCATTTCCAGACTGGAGTAAGAAAAACGCCATAGAAAGGGCAGTATCTGAGCATGGCCTTGAGGGATTTCAAGAGGCAAAGATGGAAGGAGAACCTTCTAGGCACAAGGGACTGACAGAAAAAAGGTATAAAGGGTAGGAAAGCAAGAGACCCGTAACAGGAGTGGAGAGACTCCAACTACAACACGGGAAGAACGGGTGATTTGGCTGCAAAGCCAGGTAATGCAGGGTCTTGAGTACCAAACTAGTGAGGCAAAGTAGGGCAACAGTCCCCACCCCGGCTGTGCATCAGAACCACCAGGGGATCTTGGTCAGGATACAGATTCTGGGGCCCCAACATAGTGAATCAGACTCCGGGCTGGCGTTGGGAGCCAGAGGCTTCAGGTTTTTGCACAGGAAAAACCTGACCACAGCTATGCAGACTTCAGGGTGGGCTGCTCTGAATAAGATCAGATATCCCACATGTACCAAACTCAGTTCCCAAACGCCTTGGTCTGATGTAAATGTCCCTCCTCTGAGCCACCACAGTCCCCTTGCACGTCTCCTCTACGGGAGTGCAGACCACACTCTACAGGACTCAGTGACTGAGCTTCGGTTAGCTTAAGCTCGGTAAATGTTGACTGGCTGACTGACCTAAGGAAAGACAGAATGAGATAAGGGGGACAATTAGAAAGTCATTGTCACCCAGGAGTGAGGTAAGAACCTGAGATAGGGCAGTGGCAGTAGGCACGGAAAGGAAGATTAGAGACTGACAAGGTCCCTTTTGCTGAAGGTGGCATTTAGTCACCCTTAGAGGCACAGTGCCAGCTACTTGCTCCAAAGCCCAGGCAGGTAGGGGCAGGGCCACAAAGACAAGGGTCTCAGATGCACATTCAGAGGCTCTGCTGGATTCCACTCTTTAAAAAAAATGCCTGCTTATGAGTATAACATTTAGCGCACAGACGTTCAAACATTCTAAGGCAGGGTCAGCAAACTTCTGTAAAAAGCCAGACAGTAAATTCTTAAGGCTTTGCAGGCCACACAACCTCTGTTGCAACTACCTAACCCTGCCAAGTGTGGTAAAAAGGCAGCTCCCACTAAAGGCCACCAGGCCAGGGGCTCGAGGCAGCCCCAGGCTATTACCTGAGGGCTGAGGGGCTCCAGCCAGCTTGGTCTACCTCACCCATCTCTACTGTAGAACCTAGAGCGTCTCTTGCTTTCCCGCACAGCCGGAGGAGAGCCCAGTGTCCCACACTCTGAAGCTCCTCCCCAAAGCGGAACCTCCCCAGCTGATCTCACTTGTGGGTGACAGCTTTCAGGAGGGGCCAGAAGACAGGCTGCGGCAGAGGCTTCTGGTGGGCGCTCTTCTTCCTCTTCCCTCCCGCCTCAGCTCGGATGTGCTTGGCGTGCAGGCCGTGGATGAATACAGCCTCCAGCGCGCTGCACATGGTGTTGGCATCTCCGTCTTCGCTAGTGACCACTGTGTCTGAGGACACGTACTGCTTCTGCAACGCCTTCACGGACCCCACTAGCTTCCTCTTGATGACCTAGGCAGTGCCAGACACAACACAAGCCTGTAGACGATCACATGGTGACCCCCGGAATGTACCTCTGCCTGTCGCCAAACCCATGTGCACCCACACGTGTGCACACACCTATGTATGTATCTATACAGCAAAACTAGCACATGCTAATTATAGAAAATAAAGCATAGAGAAGAAAAGGAAAATCACATAGTATGTGATACTGTTAATTTTTTGCAAAGATATTTGTGTATTTTTTTGTTGTAGTTTTCTAAAACGAACTTCAGTGAACTGATAGCATATAAATCTGTGTTTAAATATTGGCTCTATCATAGTTACAGCTATAGGAGCTTGGGTAATCCATCTTGGACAGGGGTGAGGCTTTCCACCTCATTTACATGACCAAGATTCCACAGAGTCAATAAGCTAAGAAGAAAAAAGTGCTGCTTTAGAACAATAGAACCACCCTGAAAACAGGAGCATGGTCTACATTAAGAAGGATCCTAGACCTGGCAGTCAGAGGCCTAGGTTCAGTCTCAGCTCTGTCAGTCACCAGCGGGGTCACCTCAGACATTTTACTTAACCTCTCTGAGCCTCAATTTCCTCATCTGTTAAATGGGAATAATACTTCCTGACCTATAGTGCAGGCGGGATTACTCTTTGAGGACAAGACTAGTTTTTTATTCATTCTCATGTCCTCAACACTTGTCATGGTTCCTGGATATAAGTCCTCAATAAATGTTTGTTAAATGAATAAATGATAAAATACACATAAAGTTCTTTGGAAATATAGAGTAAAGATGGTTCTACCATAACGTAAGTACATCAAAATTACCTAAGTGTTTGGAAAAGGACTAGAAGGGATTGCAGAAAAACTGGTTTGAATTGTTAGGTGGTCACAGATAAATATTTTACCATTTTATTTTTATTTTAGCCAAAGCTGTTAATGTTCTTTGAAAAGTTAAATGTTCTTTTTTTATAACAGCTTTAACGAGACATAATTTACATAGCATAAAATTTCCTCAAAGTACACAGTTCAATGGTTTTTAGTATATTCACAGAATTGTGCAACCATCCCCACTACCTAATTTTAGAACATTTTGATTGCCCCAAAAATAAACACTGTACCCATTAGCAGTCACTTCCTATTCCCCTCTCCCTCAACCCCTGGCAACCACTAATCTACTTTCTGTCACTATGGATTTGCCTATTCTGGACACTTCACGCAAATGGAATCATATAATATGCAGTCTGGCTTCTTAGCATATTTTCAAGGTTCGTCTACGTTGCAGCATGTTGTCAGTATTTCATTCCTTTTTATTGCCAAATAATATTCCACTGCATGGATATACCACATTTTATTTATCCATTCATCGATTAATAGACACTTGGGTTGTTCCTACTTTTTTGCAACAATGTTGCTATGAACATTCATGCACAAGTTTTTGTGTAGACATATGTTTTCAATTCTTTTGGGTATACACCTAGTAATGGAATTGCTGGGTCATATGTAACTCTATGTTTAACTTTTTATGGAACTATCAAACTGTCTTCCACAATGGCTGTACCATTTTACGTTCCCACCAGCAATGTATGAGGGTTCCAATTTCTCCACAATCCCACCAACACTTAGTTTGTCTGCCATTTTGATTACAGCCATCCTAGTGGGTGTGAAGAAGTATCTCACTGTGGTTTTGATTTGCATTTATCTAATGTCTAATGATGTTGAGCATCTTTTCATGTACTTATTGGTCATTTGTACATCTTCTTTGGAGAAATCCTTGGTCTTCAGGTAACCTATATTAAATCCCCATTGTTCTTTGTAAATTCTCATTTTATCATCAATAAGATGATCTTCTCAGAGCCTGCTTCTGCTATAACTTTTTCTCAACCTGAGGCCTCTCTTTCTGGGCAGTGCTCATTCATTTCAAAGTGAGAAAAACTGATGAAATGGCTGTCCTGTGCCCCTCTTCCCCACCCTTGATCCTCCCTAGCCGCCTACCGGGATGGCAGCCCGGGGGTCCAGTCCATTCTCCACCACTGAGAGCATTTCCACTCATGCAGCAGCTCCTGCGGAGAATCACATGACACCTGCAGAAACAGATGGCAGTCAGATGAACAAGCTCTGAACTCACCACCCTCAGTCAATCCCTGCCCCCCAGTAGGCAGCAAGTCAGCACATTCTACTCAAAGTGCAACCAAAAGGACCTTGAATACAAAAGTAAAAACCAAGAGTGGATTTTAAGGAAGGAAAGAAGGAAGGAAAAAAGTCTGAGGGCTGGGATCTTGGGAGCTGAGGAGCCCTGTGTGCCGTGGGGGGGGTCTGCCCCAAGGGGTGGGTGGAAAGGCTCTTTCCTCCACACCAAACGCTGCCACAAAAAGCAGGGAATGAAAGGCTTGTTTAGGCACAGAGCTGAGGGTGCAAGGGGGCGCTGCAGTGGAAGGTGCCAGGAACCCACAGGAACCAGGAAGCAGGGGCTCACAGTTCACACGCAGGGCCTGGGCCCTGCAACTGCCCCCACTCCTGTCCCTGTCCAGTGTCTGCCCCCTCAGTGATGGAAAGTATACTGAAACAGCTTCAGAAAGGAGGGCTCTCTAGCTGCATATCTGCTTCTCCTCCGGGCTGCGAGGGTCTAGCCTGAGCAGCATAGGGACATGTCTAAAGGGCAACAACATGGGTTCTAATCTCAATTTGCCACTAACCAGCTAGGCACGCTGGGGCACAGTACCAGGCCTCTTAAATGGAGGTTACGAATGTGGAAAACACCTAGCACAGGGCCTGATATGTCCCAAGGATAAATGGTATCTATAAGACAAAGAATGCCACTGTCTAAATGAGTATGCACACGTAGTTGAAGTCAGTACACAGGGAAAGCCCTCAGAGCAGCTGTTTTTTTTTTTAGGGGCAGGGGAGGGCTGAGGGTGAGGAGGGAGTGGGGGTCGGTTGGGGCCTCGGCCAGAGCTTGAGGGGGGCTGCTGGCTGGCCTGGCCACAGCCCAGTAACTTGGACAGACTGGGACTGGGCAGGCACATTCACATCTAGACAAACCTCTAGTGACCACACAGCTGAGCATGAGGGGACACCAAAAAAAAGGTTATTGCTGTCTCTGCTCTCAAAAACTTATGGCTCAAAGAAGTTAATAAAACCAAGGCATGCTAAACGGGCTTTGTACCCTTTACACATATGGCCTCATTCACCCCTCATAACCACCCTAGGAGTGCTGTTTTATCTCAACCTAACAGATGAGAAATAGAAGCTGACCCAGGTCAAGGAACTTCCCAAGAGCCCAGAGGTAACAAGTGACTGACTCCACCACCTGCCGCCAGGACAAAGCCAACCCCAGCTCAAGGGAAACCCCCAGACTCCTGAATGAGTGCACTCACCTCCCTTCCAGAAGAGGTGGGTGTGAGCCAGGCCTAAGGCATCGGGGGAGAGGGGGTGGGGAGGGGACTAGGAGGAGGAGTCCAGCTGCGGGCCCAGGCGAGGGGGCGCAAGGGAGCATTAAGGTCAGTCTGGTTTACAGGAGAACAGTGGAGCGTGAGGTTTGGAAATTAGAGAAGCAGGGTGGGCCTGAATGGTGGAAGATGCTCTGATTCATCCCTGGTCTCTGGAGGTGGCAGAGGGTAGAAGGACGCAGAGCCAAACTTCTTCAGTAAGGACATGCAGAGGGAGGAAGGTGTGTGCGGAGGATGGCCCTGCAGAGCCAGCTCTGGTCAGGGTGTGACAGACTGCCAGGAAGAGCACTGTCCCCTGGCCGCAGCCCCTGCCTGACAGCCTCACCCTTCACCACGTTCCCCGCTCTCTCACCCATCCGGGATTCTCAGGGCCCTCCTCTGGAGACCAGCTCCACACTGTGGCTACCAGGGCAACAGGAAAAGGGGTGTATGCTGTGGTCAGTCTCTCCTGGAAACATACCTAATCATGGGGGCTGGGTTCCTTCGAGGCTTCCTTGCGCAGCCCAGCAGGCCATGTGCATGTTCTTTGGCTGCATGACCCTGGGCTCTAATCCCTTTCAGCAATTCCAGCAGCCTAAGGCCTCCCCTCAGGTCTGCCCTTCTAGACGGAGCCTGAAGTTCCAAAACTGCCCCTTCCTCGGCCAGCCACAAGGCCAGGCCCAGGCAGGGAAGGGCTCCAACCTCAACAATATGAACAATAGCCTGGGTCCATTAAGGCCTCAGTAACTAACTAACTAAAAATAATAGAGTGTTCATTGGAGGGAGGGAGGGTTGGTTATTAGTAAGTAGGTGCCAAGTAATGGTCTGCTAAAAAACCAAAGTAAACTGATGCTGAGAGGTCAGAGCATGGCCAGACAATAGACAATGACTATCGCCTAAAACAAAGTGTCAGAAGAGCCAAAAATGACAACAGCGCAGAGGAATCCAGGAAGAGAACAGCCACTTGACAATTCATAAAACAGGACTCAGACTTTGGGGTTCAGGCCATAATTCAGGACACACCTTTCTTCGGAGGAAGCCAAAGCAACCTACCTCTGTGTGTCTGTTGCATAACGCCACAGGGAGGCAGGAAAGCGGCTCAGAGCAGGGATCTGACAGTCTCCGACCCTAGAACGCGCTGGTGGAAGCAGAGCCGGGCTCTGGGTCTCCTGACTGCTGAGTCAGTGCTCCACCATCCTCCTGGGTGGCCCAGACCCCCAGGCTACCATCCTATGGGACTGGTTTCATTTCCCGTCCTCAGAACACTCTGCATTGACACCAAGAACCAAACCAAAGAGAGGTGCGACTTCAAGAAGACCTAGGCTGAAGAGGGTAAGGAGAGAACTTGGGCAATACCCCCAAAAGGCTCTTCCAACATCACGGGTGGAGTTTAGCAGAAAAGGTGACTTCTATCTGTCCTTTAGGAAACTCCAAACCACGTTAAGTCTACCTCTCACCCTAGCGTTGATTCACCCTGACACATCTCTCAAAGCTTCTCTGATCTCATTCTCTAATCTCATTTCATTCTGTTTAACAGAGGAAAAAACTGAGGCTGAGTAGAAACGGGCCCCAGGTAAGGGACAGAATTCTGTGGTTTCCTCATCCCAAGTCCTGTGCCTTTCACCAGATCAAACTGTTTCAGGTCTTTGGTTGGAAGAGTTTCAGGCAAACTTATTACTTATAGGCTCTTAAGAGGCTCAGAAGCTCCATTTTATCAAATAAGGCTTAAAATCAACAAGAAAGAACCTTGTCCATCAGATCTGTAGCCCCAACCAGCTGAGGCCAGGTCCTTTCCATGGTACCCAAGTTTCAGAGCTGTCCTTTCTTTCTTTTTTTTTTCTTGTGAGGAAGATTGGCTCTGAGCTAACATCTGTTGCCAATCCTCCTCTTTTTGCTGAGGAAGAGTAGCCCTGAGCTAATGCCTGTGCTCTTCTTCCTCCATTTTGTATATGGGACACCACCACACATGGCGTCATGAGCAGTGCATCTGTCTGCGTCGGGGATTTGAACCTGCGAACCCTGGGCCGCCAAAGCGGAGTGCATGAACTTAACCACTATGCCACCTGGCCAGCCAGAGCTGTGCTTTCTTAAACATTCCAACACACAGTTAGAAAGGAATTGTTCTGGTTGTTTTTCTTCATTATACTGCCTGGCCTTCTATAAATGTCCAATTTCACTTCCTCCAGATACCAAGGAAGAAAGAAAAGAGAAGAATGGCTTCGATGAGACTTACATTAAAAGAATAAATGGATGACCTGGCTTCACTGCTTTTGAAACACTCCATCCATCAGTAAACAGCAACCTTTTCTCCTTAGAGACCTCTCAGCCATTCCCAACAGCCTCCTCTCTCCAGCTTGAATCCAACCCTGTAGCTGGCTGTTCAGAACAACAGTCTGCCATTTAAGCCATCCAGCTGCTGTACCGATTGATGAGTCATGTTTTTCAGACGGCAAAGAAAGACAAACTTATCAGTTGGAAAAGAATGACAAAGTTATCTTCTGATTCAGAAAGGCAGCTGATCTTTCAGACATGTGAGTGCTGAGTGAGTAAACAGCACCTCCTTCCACCTGAAGAAAGTTGGATTTCTGGACAAGTGTGGAAAAGCTGGAAAAGCTATGGTATACAATTCTTCAGGGGGATTGGGGGGTGTCACTGTGGAACTCCTTCTGTTAAACCAAGCTGCCAACAGGCTGAAAATCATTCAGATATATTGCACCTTAATGGGGGGATACTGAAGGTAGAAGGGCATTTGATTTTCAAAGGAACAAGACTACACATGGCAAGCAAAGACAATGGGTCCTATTTGGGACCCTTTAAAATTGCTGTCAAATGGCCAACCTTCTGAAGCTAGGTCACCAGAATTTGGAGAGAATGTGCACCCACAAAGCCCAAGAGATTACAAATGCAAAGTATGGGGACTGGGTGCCTCAGGAATGTCCCTCTGCCTCAGCTACTCTGAGATAACTCGGCTCCCTGTGTTCATGGGTAACCAAAATGGCTAAAATTCAATGATCCAGCACCTGCAAAAAGAGGAAGTGATTCAGCAGCCTCTGTACCCTCAGGCTCCCCAGGACCCACACACCTCTAGTCTTCGTAACAAGTAACATCGCCTCTGGCAACCCTCGTGTTCCCTGTGTTCAGTCTTGGGACTGATCTGCTATCAGCTCTGGCCAGGAGGAGCACTAGGTAAGAGCCCTTTACAAGTGCCTGGATTATACACATGGAAGTGGTTCTGTGACCACAGCCAACCCCACACAGGGGTACTCCCTAAGTTTCTGCAGGGCCAGAACACCAGCCAAAAGGAAGTGATGGCTCCCGCTGCCCCAGGCTGAGTGAGCTAGGTGTGTGGCCATTCCTCACCTACAAGGTACGTGGATGATACCTACCATTCCAGATGCCATCGCAAGTAATTTAACATGAATGCTGGTAACATAGTCCCTAAGGACAGGTACAGGGGACCAGATACCCAGGAAAAATCCCTGACCCAAGAGGGGGCTCTCTACTCCTCCACACATATTTACCACATGAGACCCTGCACTCAC